AAAGAGTGGAAAAACTCCACTGCCAATGTGACATGTATACATTATTTATGGGGGCCCAAAAAAAAACATCGCAGACAGGTAGCGCAGAGCCATCCAAGCTGGTTCTGGAATTCTCAGCGTTCCTGGAATAATTAATTGAAATATTACTAATTCTATTAGGTCAAATTGAAGATGAACTCCAAAGCTGAAAGATCTAGGATTAAAATACCTCATGGTCAGGGGGGCGGACTGACCATATGGAAACTCTGGCACTGCCTGAGGGCCCGGGGTCAGTAGAGGGCCCATGAAATGCCCCTGGTTCCTTTTTCATAGTCTTTTTTGAGTTTGGGCAAGGACACAGGGGCCCCATGATCCCCTATTGCCCAGGGGCCCCATGAATTGTCAGTCCGCCCCTGTTCGTGGTCAACAGTCACAGCTGCAAAGATTTCTAATTTTTGATAGCCAGTCTTGGCATCCAGATTGGTCTTAGACCTCCACTGAAGTTCATCAGCGCAGCTTGGTCAAGGACAGGGGCGGACTGACCATTTGGAAACTCGGGCAATGCCTGAGGGCTCAGGGTCAGTAGGGGGCCCCATGAGATGCCCCTGGTACCTTTTTCATAGGCTTTTTTGAGTTTGGGCAAGGACACAGGGGCCCCATGATCCCCTTTTGCCCAGGGACCCCATGAATTGTCAGTCTGCCCCTGCTCGTGGTCAACAGTCACAGCTGCAAAGATTTCTAATTTTTGATAGCCGTCTTGGCATCCAGACTGGTCTTAGACCTCCACTGAAGTTCATCAGCGCAGCTTGGTCAAGGACACACCCCCATCCTGCTTGATGAGCAGGAGCACACTGACCAGGGCGCCACTCTCTCTACTTGCGTCCACTCTCAGTAAGCTCTAGTTATTAACCCCTGACAGCCCTTTAAAGTGTTTGTAAACCTCAGGCATGTCATTTCTGTCTGCTGCTTCGTTCATCTGCCATCAGTATGAGTCACTTCTGACAAGCTTTCCTGACACCAAAAGAAAAATGGTGACAGAGGAGGGACCTCCAGCAGATTAACAGCCTCAGCTCTGTTCCTGTGAGCTGTGTGGAAGGGGGGGGGGGGGTCCAGGGGCGGACTGACCATTTGGAAACTCGGGCGCTGCCGAAGGGCCTGGGCTCAGTAAGGGGCCCCATGAGATGCCCCTGGTACCTTTTTCATAGGCTTTTTTGAGCAAGGACACAGGGGCCCCATGATCCCCTATTGCCCGGGGCCCCATGAGTTGTCAGTCAGCCCCTGGGGGGGTCTCTTCCCTCCAATCACCAAGCTCTCCTCATTGAGCTCTGCAGTGTGTCATCTCAGCTCTCCACCCCCCGATTTCTGAACTCTCACACATGTTGTATAAATTCTGGACTGTGAACAGATGTAGAGAAGAGAAGACCGCAGACAAAGTGTTCACAAACCTCAGATGTGTCATTTCTGTCTGCTGCTTCATTCATCTGCCATCAATATGAGTCACTTCTGACAAGCTTTCCTGACACCAAAAGAAAAATGGAGACAGAGGAGGGACCTCCAGCAGATTGACAGCCTCGGCTCTGTTCCTGTGAGCTGCGTGGAGGGAGAGGGGGGGTGGGGTCTCTTCCCTCCAATCACCAAGCTCTCCTCAATGAGCTCTGCAGTGTGTCATCTCAGCTCTCTCTACCCCCCCCCCCCCCGATTTCTGAACTCTCAGACAAGTTGTATAAATTCTGGACTGTGAACAGATGTAGAGAAGAGAAGACAGCAGATAAAGTGTTTGTAAACCTCAGATGTGCATTTCTGTCTGCTGCTTCATTCATCTATCATCAGCATGAGTCACTTCTGACAAGCTTTCCTGACACCAAAAGAAAAATGGTGACAGAGGAGGGACCTCCAGCAGATTGCCAGCCTCGGCTCTGTTCCTGTGAGTTGTATGGAGGGGGGTCTATTCCCTCCAGTCACCAAGCTCTCCTCATTGAGCTCTGCAGTGTGTCATTTCATCTCTCCACCCCTTGATTTCTGAATTCTCAGACAAGCTGTATAAATTCTGGACTGTGAACAGATGTAGAGAAGAGAAGACAGCAGATAAACAACTTATGTAAGAGGATTTGTTTCATCTCTGTGTATCATCTGAGGCCAGTCACTTCACTGGGTATATGGAAGGGCTTACAACCACTTATAGAGGATCTTGACACTGGGAGGCGTAAGCAGGTTTTCTAGGTGACCCCTGTGATTGGTTGCCAGATGGTCAGGAGATTGTAAGCTCCCAATCACAAATAATTGCCGGGAGCTATCCATGACAGCTTGGCCACTACACGGGGAGTGTGCAGTAAGTGCACAGAATGGTGGTTCTCCGATGTGAGGCAGCTGGGCATTAGGGTCCACCCATCCTGCCGCCACATATGCATATGGCCAGTTGGAACAGGTCAAAGTGTTACTAAACCCACAACGGTACAATCAGTCTGTATATGCAGGAAAGCATGCTTGTTATACTCACTGTGGAACCTAAGGGGTTAATCCTTCGCATTATGTAAAAAGGCTGTTTGATCCTGTCCTCTCTGATCCTCCCCTTCTTCCACAGTCCCCAATACATCTGCTGATAGAACAGAGCATTGGGGGCAAGCTGAACATGCTCAGTTTGGTGTGTATGGTTAGAGAGGTTTTTTTTGTTTTGTTTTGTTTTTCTTGGGAGAGTGCATGTGATCAGCACAGGGCTGATCAGCACTATCCAGACAGATGGTCAGGGGTTATGTGGCCTCATAGACAACCAGTGTAGAATGAAAACTCCTCCTACAAGATTGACCAGTGCTCTGCTGGACACTGATAGAAGTCACAAGACTGCTATATACTGCTGATGAGAAAAGGTAATTAGCAGTTTATATTTACTAAAATAATTGCATTTCCATGTTGTGTGTACTGTGGGGGACCGGATATAGTGAATGCAGGGTCCAGAGAGACCAGATATAGTGAATGCAGGGTTCCGGGAGAGTGGATATAGTGAATGCCGGGTCTGGTAGGAGAGGATATAGTGAATTCAGGGTCCAGGGAGATCAGATATAGTGAATGCAGGGTCCGGGGAGACCGGATATAGTGAATGCAGGGTCCGGGGAGAGCGATATAGTGAATGCAGGGTCCGGGGAGATCAGATATAGTGAATGCAGGGTCTGGGGAGACCGGATATAGTGAATGCAGGGTCTGGGGAGGGGATATAGTGAAGCAGGGTCTCGGGAGTCAGAATAGCAGGGGTCCGGGGAGACCAGATATTGTGAATGCAGGGTCCCGGGAGAAGGGATATAGTGAATGCAGGGTCTGGGGAGAACGGATATAGTGAATGCAGGGTCTGGGGAGACCAGATATAGGGAATGCAGGGTCCGGGGGGAGACCGGATATAGTGAATGCAGGGTCCGGGGAGACCGGATATAGTGAATGCAGGGTCCGGGAGAGAGTAGGATATGCAGGGTCCAGGGAGACCGGATATAGTAAATGCAGGTCCGGGGAGAGCGGATATAGTGAATGCAGGGTCCGGGGAGAGCGGATATAGTGAATGCAGGGTCCGGGGAGAGCGGATATAGTGAATGCAGGGTCCGGGGAGAGCGGATATAGTGAATGCAGGGTCCGGGAGAGTGGATATAGTGAATGCAGGGTCCGGGGAGAGTGGATATAGTGAATGCAGGGTCCGGGGAGAGAGGATATAGTGAATGCAGGGTCCGTGGTGAGCGGATATAGTGAATGCAGGGTCCGGGGAGACCAGATATAGTGAATGCAGGGTCCGGGGAGAGAGGATATAGTGAATGCAGGGTCCGGGGAGACAGGATATTGTGAATGCAGGGTCCGGGGAGACCAGATATAGGAAATGCAGGGCCTGGGGAGACCAGATATAGTGAATGCAGGGTCCGGGGAGAGCGGATATAGTGAATGCAGGGTCCAGGGAGACCAGATATAGTGAATGCAGGGTCCGGGGAGAGCGGATATATAGCGAATGCAGGGTCCGGGGAGACCAGATATAGTGAATGCAGGGTCTGAGGAGAGCGAACATAGGCAATACAGGGTCCGGGGAGAGAGGACATAGTGAATGGAGGGTCCGTGGAGAGTGGATATAGTGAATGCAGGGTCCGGGGAGACCAGATATAGTGAATGCAGGGTCTGGGGAGACCAGATATAGGGAATGCAGGGTCCGGGGAGAGCAGGATATAGGGAATGCAGGGTCCGGGGAGAGCCAGATATAGTGAATGCAGGGTCTGGGGAGACCAGATATAGTGAATGCAGGGTCCTGGGAGAGCGGATATAAGTGAATGCAGGGTCCGGGGGAGACCAGATATAGTGAATGCAGGGTCCGGGGAGACAGATATAGTGAATGCAGGGTCCGGGGAGAGCGGATATAGTGAATGCAGGGTCCGGGGAGACCAGATATAGTGAATGCAGGGTCCGGGAGAGCCGAATATAGTGAATGCAGGGTCCGGGGAGACCAGAACATAGTGAATGCAGGGTCCAGGGAGAGCAGATATAGTGAATGCAGGGTCCGGGGAGACCGGATATTGTAATGCAGGGTCCGGGGAGACCAGATATAGTGAATGCAGGGTCCGGGGAGAGCGGATATAGTGAATGCAGGGTCCGGGGAGAGTGGATATAGTGAATGCAGGGTCTGGGGAGAGCGGATATAGTGAATGCAGGGTCCGGGGAGACCAGATATAGTGAATGCAGGGTCCGGGGAGAGTGGATATAGTGAATGCAGAGTCCGGGGAGAGAGTGGATATAGTGAGTGCAGAGTCCGGGGAGAGCGGATATAGTGAATGCAGGGTCCGGGAGAGCAGGATATAGTGAATGCAGAGTCCGGGGAGACCAGATATAGTGAATGCAGAGTCCGGGGAGACCAGATATAGTGAATGCAGGGTCCGGGGAGAGTGGATATAGTGAATGCAGGGTCCGGGGAGAAACCAGATATAGTGAATGCAGGGTCCGGGGAGAACCAGATATAGGAAATGCAGGGCCGGGAGACCAGGATATAGTGAATGCAGGGTCCGGGGAGAGCGGATATAGTGAATGCAGGGTCCGGGGAGACCAGATATAGTGAATGCAGGGTCCGGGGAGACCAGATATAGTGAATGCAGGGTCTGGGGAGACCAGATATAGGAATGCAGGGTCCGGGGAGAGCGGATATAGTGAATGCAGGGTCCGGGAGAGACCAGATATAGTGAATGCAGGGTCCGGGGAGAGCGGATATAGGAATGCAGGGTCCTGGGAGAGAGGATATAGTGAATGCAGGGTCCGAGGAGAGCAGATATAGTGAGTGCAGGGTCCGGGGAGAGCAGATATAGTGAATGCAGGGTCTGGGAGACCGATATAGTAATGCAGGGTCCGGGGAGACCGGATATAGTGAAATGCAGGGTCCGGGGAGACCGGATATAGTGAATGCAGGGTCCGGGGAGAGCGGATATAGTGAATGCAGGGTCCGGAGAGAGCAGATATAGTGAATGCAGGGTCCGGGAGAGTGGATATAGTGAATGCAGGGTCTGGGAGAGCGGGATATAGGAATGCAGGGTCCGGGAGAGAGTGGATATAGTGAATGCAGAGTCCGGGGAGAGCAGATATAGTGAATGCAGGGTCCGTGGGGAGAGCAGATATAGTGAATGCAGGGTCCGGGGAGACCAGATATAGTAAATGCAGGGTCTGGGGAGACCAGATATAGGGAATGCAGGGTCCGGGGAGAGTGGATATAGCGAATGCAGGGTCCGGGGAGAGTGGATATAGTGAATGCAGGGTCCGGGGAGACCAGATATAGTGAATGTAGGGTCTGGGGAGACCAGATATAGGGAATGCAGGGTCCGGGGAGAGCGGATATAGCGAATGCAGGGTCCGGGGGGAGACCAGATATAGTGAATGCAGGGTCTGGGGAGAGCAAACATAGGCAATACAGGGACCGGGGAGAGAGGACATAGTGAATGGAGGCAGATATAGTCCGTGGAGAGCAGATATAGTGAATGCAGGGTCCGTGGTAGAGAGATATAGTGAATGCAGGGTCCTGGTAAAGAGGATATAGTGAATGCAGGGTCCAGGGAGACCAGATATAGGAAATGCAGGGTCCGGGGAGACCAGATATAGTGAATGTAGGGTTCAGGGTTTAGCAACACTTTAATAATTGCCAACAAAAGTTCAAAGGAAGCTGCCACGTAAAAATTATACACGTACCAAGTAAATATATATATATAAACAATGTAGCATTTCCTATCCATGTGGGTGAATATTGGTGGGTTGGAAGTCCTACATTGTTGATATATAAGCTCTCCATAGACAGCAAGAACTCGCTGAGATTTGAACTATGTATGGCCGAGCTGAATGTACCCCAATTGATTTATTGATCATCTTGGGTACAACCAGCCTGCCGGATTTTATATGCGATTATTGCTAGCGGCTAATATAGTTGCTATCAGTAATTACAAAGCCTCCGCTGGTTGCAGGAAAGAAATACGCTCCATCTACAGCTTGACTTACACTGACAGCAGTGCAGCTGAACCTGATTGGCTCAAACTTCTGGACCATTTCCAAGTTGAGTTCCCCAGGCAGGAAACTGCAGGAGCTCAGTATCAAAAACTGATTTTCTACTCAGGTACAGTCATGGCCAAAAAGAGAGATTGGCACCCTGCTCATGAACCACTTCGCCCAGAAAATTGTTGCGATTACAATACAAATGTTTCAGCATTCTCATGTATAACATTATTTCTTTTGTTTTATCAGTATTGGTATGACACAAAAAAATGGGAGACAAATTGCAGCGATGAGCCAAAATCTGACACATTCCATGCAGAACCCCATTTTCTATTCACACACAGAACGTGGATTGGCCCTGCCCACTGCTCTCTCCTCACTGGCTCACTGGTTGTGATTGCACAGCAGCAGGAGGCAATGGCTCCCACTGCTGTGTGAGCCAATGAGGAGAGAGAGACCCAGGAGAGCAGTGGCACACCCCTTTCTGCACATCATTGGGGGTTGAATAATTTGGGGCTCACATCTGACAAAATATAAAGGGTTGCTGGGGGGGGAGCTGCACCCAGAAGGTTTTTTTTTTCCTACCAGGATTGACTGCATTAAGGTAAAAAAATCACCTCTTCTGCCTTTAGAACCACACTTTAAAAATTATAATAATAATAATAATAATATTACTACTATATATTAAACTTTACAGTAATATATAATAATACTCATTTTTTTATTATGATTACGATATTTGAATTATACAATTGTGAATAAAAATAATAATAATTTATAATACATTTACATTATTATTATTTTGTATTGTTTTTTTTATTAATATACATTAATATATTTTTTTATTACATTTAACTTATACATAATACTGAATACTATTACTACTGCAATGAAATAATAATAATAATAATAATAAAATAAAAATAATAATAATAATTTTATTATTACATTTAATTTATAGTGTGTATTAAAAATATTATTTTTAATAATATATTAATGTAGATTTTAAATGTATTAACTGCATATATGCTGTGTATGTTAGCAGTGTACCAGTGGAAGGGAGTCCCAACACTTATCTGCACACCCAGAACACGAATCATGTGAACTCTCTGCAGTTAATCCTGTATATGAAATCAGTTGCTGGCCAATTTTTTTTCTTTTTTTTTTGATGATTGAACATTTTGGGATGATCCATGATACATAACGAGGCATACATAAGAGATGAGCTCATTTAAGAGAAAAAAAAAAAGTAATTACAGACTCAATGAATGGGTTTTCTCTCACTGGGAGTCAAAAGATGGACATGGAAGGCCAGAACTTTTCTGTTCCTTGCTCATTTGGACCCAAATGTATGGAACTCAAACTATCAACACCTTTCCTTACACTGCCATGTGGCTCTGTGGTATGAGGTACTCCGTGGGCCGTACTTCAGCTATATTTTTTAATGGCCTCTTCTGAAGCTGTGGTCCGTCTGTATTATCATTGCTTTGGGCTAAAGACGTCTACTAGCAAACCTATACAAGTACTTACAATAGCTACTTTGAAAAATACTATTGCACAAGTTGGTGTATTTTGCATATATGGGGTTTTGCTTCAACAGGATAAAAAGCAAATTTGAGACACAAGTCAGGAAGGATTGTGAGTTTTGCTGTTGGAGAGCGCTGATTTAGCAGGAGGTGTATTGGACCTTTGCAGAGAGACCACTGCTTCTCTACAAAGAGCAAAGGTCCTTCTCTGCAGCTAAATGACCTCACTCCACTGGCAGACAGCACTCCCCCATGCTTCATCAGTGGACTCCCCCTCGGTGTCATCACATCTAAAACAGGGCTATGGACCCTGCATTCAAGGCTGGTACCAGGGGTAGGCAGGAAGGGCAGCTGCCTTGGGCACAGTGGAGCAAGGGGGCAGAGAATAGACACAGGGCAGTAAACCTATTCTAAGGCATGTATTACCCATAGGGCAGGGGGTACAGTTCTGCATTCTTGCTCTGGGCGCTAGACAAACCTGTCCCGGTACTGTCTGCATTGATCTCGATGATGTCAGGTCCTTGGCCCATGCTAGAGGATGGGGGAGACATTGCAATGACCAGTCTAACAGCACAAAGGACTGGAGGCTCTAGTAAGTACAACTTCTTTTCTAAAAGATCTATGAATTTCTATTTTCCCTAGATCCAAACAAGCAATTTTTAAGTTTCCCGGAGTTGGGCTTCAAAGGCAGTGAGGCCCACCCACACTGGAAGGGTTCAATGCTTGTTGGGTCTAGGAGATCTGAAGAGGCTACGTTACTTACCTTACACCCCCTGCTCTGGTGCTCTCCTCTACCTTGCATGGTACATGGAGAAGGCAGTCGTGTGACCGAGGCCAGGAGCACCTTTCTCAGGAGGCTTCATGGGACCAGTTGCATGGAACTAGGAATAAGGCGAGTATTGCACCTTACTCCTGCAACCTACGCACTATATGCAAGGCGTTCAATGAGTATTGCACCTTACTCCTGCACCTACGCACTATATGCAAGGGTTCAAATGCTTACTCCTGCACCTCCACTATATGCAAGGGTTCAATGCTTGTCTGCATCAATGCTTACTCCTGCACCTACGCACTATATGCAAGGGTTCAATGCTTGTTGGGTCTAGGAGGATCTGAAGAGGCTACGTTACTTACCTTGCACCCCTGCTCTGGTGCTCTCCTCTACCTTGCATGGTACGTGGAGGAGGCAATCGTGTGACCGCGGCCAGGATCACCTTTCTCAGAAGGCTTCATGGGACCAGTTGCAAGGAACTAGGAATAAGGCGAGTATTGCACCTTACTCCTGCACCTACGCACTATATGCAATGATGCCAAGGGCCCACCCAGAGCTTCAGGGAGAAGACAATAGCACTGGATGGAAGGATAGGGTAAGTATTACATCTTATCTCTGCACCCCTAGACCAAGTTAACCCCTGCAGTATGTGGGGCCCCCCAATGTGAAGATAGGCGTTGCCTAATTCCCATAGCTAGGCTTTAACTGTGCCTGTGACTGTCCTTTTCAAATGTTATTGGACCAAAAATAACCGTCCCTTTTTTAAAAATACAGATATTTATCCCGATGTTTTAGCTTTGTAAATTGACCCCACCATGTGGAACAGTCCTCCTATTTTTAATACAGTGGCAGGTATGTGGTGGAGTGTTCAGCGTGCAGAGAGCCAGTCTACCATGTCCAAGAATATAGGCGATCAATACATTCACTTTATGGTGTTATCACAGATTGCTACGTAGCAGCAATTAAAGTGAAGCAACCTTGCAGTAAAGGAGAGAGATCACGTCTTGTAAAACTCCATGATGAAGGCGTCTGTTCACACATTACACAGATAAATGACTGCGGCGCCAGGACTTAAAGGGCCAGCACCCTTGAAATGTTCTCTGAGTAGAGTGTATGCAAAGGCATAGTTCCCAGAGGTTTCTCTCTGTCCTGCTTTTGAGACCATTTATTTTGTCTTTCCTCCAACCCTGTCCTTCCTTTTGGTCTGATGTATAGATGTGTGTTTTTTTCAGTGGGAACGTAGTTGAGGCACCTCCAGGACTGAATGTATGTCATGACAAGGGGTGTTGGGGTGTGCTGGAGAGTCTATTCATATTGGTTGCTGAGAGATTTATTGTCCCAGGGGGATCTATTGTTTCAGGGGGTCTATTACTGCTGGTGGGGGATGTATTGCTGTTGGGGGGGTCTTATGTTGCTGGGGGGGCGTCATATGCTGCTAGGGGCGATCTACTTTTGAGGAAGGGGTCTATTGTTGCTGGCTGCTGGGGGATGTATTGTTGTTGGACAATCTATTGTTGCAGGGGGTCTGTCGTTGATGGTGGGGGGGTCTTATGTTGCTTGGGGGATCTACTTTTGAGAAAGGAGTTTATTGTTACTGACTGCTGGAGGATCTAGTGAGGACTTCTGAAGGGGGATCTATTGTCACTGAGCAATTTATTGTTGCAGGGGGTCTGTCATTGCTGGTGCGGGATTTATTGTTGCTGTGTGGGGGGTCCTATGTTGCTGGAAGAGATCTACGTTTTGTGGAAGGGGTCTCTTGTTTCTGGCTGCTGGGGGATGTATTGTTGTTGGGGGTCTGCCGTTGCTGGTTGGGGGGTCTTATGTTGCTTGGGGGATCTACTTTTGAGAAAGGAGTTTATTGTTACTGACTGCTGGAGGATCAATTGAGGACTTCTGAAGGGGGATCTATTATCACTGGGCAATTTATTGTGGCAGGGGTCTATCATTGCTGGTGGGGGATTTATTGTTGCTGTGGGGGGAGGTCTTATGTTGCTGGAAGGGATCTACTTTTGGGGAAGGGGTCTATTGTTACTGGCTTCCGGAGGGTCTA